TGATGCTATTCAGATAGGATACAATTTATGTGTTGGTTAGGTTACCTGTTCACGACAAAGCACACAATACGTATCTTCCTAAGGAAAGGGATGTCTTAATGGAGGATGTTTTAAGGGAAACTAGCTCTCGTATCCGCGTTACACATTCCATTAATGTTACGTATTCAGATTCGCATTACCAGAGTTGGAGGACTTAAAAGCTGGCATATGGCAATCAATTTGTATGCTGAGTGATGCAAAAGCGTAGCATAACGTTTATAATGTCATCTAACGTTAATCGATGTAACGTTAACTGGAATACTGATTTTACGGTAGATTTATTTCTCAATGTTTCTCATTTCATCTTGTGAAGGATTCTAAATTTTCATAATATTCGTCTGTTCACTTGTACGTCGAGTCAGTAGAACTTCAGTAGGCTTTAAATTAAGCACTTAAGTTTTCATGAAAAAAATTAAAATATTTACAAGAGATTTTATACGCAAAGACTTTAAGTAAATATTTTTTCAATGAAAATAATTTATACAAAATAAATTAACATCTTAAACTTGTTATTAAACTTTAGTTTAACATTAGATAAAATTCATCACTGAGTGGAATTATTTTTGCAGAAAATCTCTGTGCAGTTCATGAGAATTCGACGCGAGTTTTCTAGCAGCAAAAATATTCTGCTGATTCTTCAGAGTTTGTCAGTTCCATTCATTACAGCTTTCATAAAAAGTTCTCACATTCTTTAAAACCAACGTTATTCTAAAGATGACTTTGACCTAATTCTAAATTTCACACTGACGTTTTTTCTTTTCTTTACAGTCTTGGTTAATCGTGATGAAAATCGAAAAACATTTTAATAGGTATTAGGCCAGCATTTGGTTGAAAATAGGTACAGGTGTTGCGTCATTACGGTTTCCGAAGCAAGAAATGTAAAGAATGTGCAGTGCTCCCGGGCCGAGACTCGAACTTCCGACCTTCTGACTGCTAGCCGGGCGTAATTTCCATTTATACCACGAAAGCACGCTATAAGGAGAGAAAAATACTTACATTGATCACCATATGTTTTCGAATTAGAGAACTGGAATTTAATTTTTCAATGCGTTCTGAATATAAATAATTCATTTGATTAAAGAATGATTTTTGAAGATACTTATCAAGGAAATTCATTAGAAAGCTATATATCCTATTAATGCTTCGTAAGTAATATGATGCATTGTGTAAATAAATTAATTAAAGAGAATTCGAAGACAGCTGTAAATGCATAATGTATCAGCAAGTAAAAAGAAAGACTATAGAATACAATTCTCTCACGACACGATCAATATGCTAGTACGGCGAAAATTTCTAACTTCTAACAATACTTTTTTGTTGTTTTTGAAACTCTAAAGATTTAAATACTTTTTCACATTTTTTGAAACATCTGCCATGCTACTAAATTCACTAGATATTATTCATAAAATCTAATGATCTGCCGTCTCAAAAACTGCTTCTTTTATATCATAGAAATAAAGAAAAAAACGATACGAATAACATACAGAAAGTATTAAAGAAACCTCGGAACTAAAATATATTAACTTGTGACAATTTGCATATTGTTTTATCACTTCGAACTTAGTCACGAACTCTTTATGCAGAATTTGAGAAGAGCGTAGGGATTTAAGCTGTTAACTGAAACTGGTAGTTGGTCAGTCAGTCAGACAGTCAGTAGCCTGCGATTGTCTTATATCTGTCTCCTCCTGAGTTAGGACTTGAAGAACCGCAGTCAATGTCTGGTCATAAGCGTGGTAGATCATACGAATGGAACCAATGGAAAATGTGTCTGTTGATTATGCACATTGAAGTAAGTAACGACGAGAAAAGTTTCTGTCTAAATTGACAAGCTAAAGGCTTTATGCTTAACTTGATAACAAGCTGTGAATTGTGGTTCCTCGTAGGGTTATCTTTGAACTACGCATTTTAGTTCCGTCAAGTAGAATGTTATTTTTATATATTTTTTTGTAATACTCAAGAAGAGACTGATTAAAGTCATAAGGTATTTTCTCCGTCCTGCATGCTTTCCTGCTGTAACGGTTAGCACACTTGGCGCGTATTCGAGAGGTCCAGGTTCGAGTTCCGGGGTAGCATTGTTCATTTTTTATGTACTCCTGCTTCAAAATAACCTAATATCTCTACAAAGTATTAATGTTAAATGCTATTAAGCCTTGGTCTGCATGCACGTATCCCATCCATCTCGATAACTTGAGAAAGGAAGTTAATGGCACTTTATAATTAGGTTCAATAGAGCTAGCGCTATTGGTTACATTACGCCAACCATCTAAAAGCAAAAACCAAAGCTGAATTGTCTTGGAAACTGATTGGAAAACCATAGAATATATTAAAGCTCAAAATAAATCACCCAACTGTGTAAAAATTATCTCAGTAAAATTCGGTTTTATGTTTCTTTTTTATCTTTATTTAATTATTATTCAAGTTCAACAATTTTCTTTTATACTTTCCATTTTATAAATTAAATGAATTTTCTATCGTTTTCAATGAACTCAAAGATTTCGCTTCCTATAATTAAGATTTAGTTAGGCGTACACTCTAAGCAATCTACACAAGAAACACTGCCTACTTTATTATGGCCAAGAGATATATGGCCAAGAGAGTTAAGAGCTGTACTCATAAGCCAAACCAACATAAATAAATCTCCAAACAGGAATGAACACTGCAAAGACATATTCACGTCTAAAGTGCAGGATGTTAGAAACTAAACTGTTTTACTAGAGACTACAGGAAATGAATACAAAAAAAAGTCAGGGGTAAAGTGGTCGGGAATAACAATTTTAATAGCAAATATATTCTTTTACATTAAAAAAAACTTATTTAGATTCCAAGAAAACGCTTATAGAAAATCAGGAAAGATCCTGAAATGAATAAATGAATGTTTCATAGTGAATCTTTGTAATAATTGAATTTTTGAAGAAAATAACTTCTAAAACCCATAATAAAAACATATATCAAAAGTGTGCAGAAATCTTGAATCCGTTGCTCTTTAAAAAAGAGCGTGTTCATAGCTTCTAATTTTTTTTCTCTAATTTCCTTTAAGATTTTCTCAGATTCTTTGCTTTTTCGAAATACATAAATGTGGCCATTCTTTCAAGAATATTTCTACTCAATGTATTTGCAAAGGGTATTATTTTAATTTTATCTAACAGACGGTAAAATAACATTTCGCCTTCTAACTAATACAATATTTCAAAGATTTCGCTTCCTATAATTAAGATTTAGTTAGGCGTGCACTCTAAGCAATCTACACAAGAAACACTGCCTACTTTATTTCCCATTATCTATATTGTATGCATTTTTTATATGAGGCAAAGGATAAAACAAAGAATTTAAGTCATTCTCTCTGTTCATAATCCACCTTGGCCAATGTGTCAGTCTACAGATTTCTGGGAAACGATATTTTAATTTTGATAAATATTTTACATATACATTCAGAAACCGAAGAAATATTTGAGAAGGATAAAATATTTTTACCTTTTCTCGAAAAACACATGGTTGATATTTACGTCAACGCCCATTTTATTGGTAATATGGTAAGGAATTATTGCTTTGTCGCATGCATGCTGTTGTGGTGTAAGTGCACACCGAGTTAGCTGTGAGAAGACCTGTAGTTTTAATATTGACAAGGATACAGGGGAGTTTTCATGTTTTCAGCTTTGACATGCATAGAGAGAGATAGATAGATATAGATATTGTACACACACACACATATATATATATGTATGTATGTAGATATAGATCTAGATGTATTGGATATAGATAGTTAGATACAAGTATACTTTTTACAACTGCGCTAGAGCTAAAAGTGTTGTGAATGCTGACACACAGATTTTTATCGATTGTTTGTAATACCTCTTCTCAGTAGCCTTTTAGTCATAGGAGATTATAAGTAATTATGGTATTAACCCGTGCGTGTCCTCGTATTGTAAGTGGTTATCAAAACGAAGATAACGTAGTTCGAATCCTGGCGAAGACACTGTAGATTTTCCTTATTTCCTCCATCGAAAAATCTGTCAGTCTCTATACTATTTACTAACCAGTCTTCTTTATTTTTGGTCACACATTATATTGATGTCTTCAAATCGGTGTAACTTAGAATGAAATATTGGAAAGACAATCTCTCGTTTTTTCTGTGGATTATCTATAGGATTTTGATGAGATTGATTCTAAAATTTCATATTCATTACATCTGGACACTAACTTTTTTCTTATCCGGGTATTATTAAAGATATTGTCAAATTTTGATTATCTGAGACTGAACGAATCAGAAGGAAATTCTATCAATTAAAAATTTAACTTATCAAATTTAGCATCAATTTCTGTAATTTGATATTTCATTTGACTAAGCGATGTTCGAGTAATCGAAGGTTTACAATATGCCGTTGTGATGAAATGAATATTCTATTATGAAAGAGCGCTTAATATTCCATTCAAAAATATTTATTCTATAGGATATATCTAATAAAACAGAAAGCTCCCAAGGAATTGAAAATATGTTTCAATCTAGTTGTTTGCCTAAGTAGTGTAAAGATTCTCACACTGCTTTTGCTGTTCTAACTCCACAGAATGTTCTTTTCCTTGCTTTGGTTTTTACTGGCCTAAGTTACAGAGGTTGTCTTTTAGACGAGCGACATCAAAACTGAAAAACAACAAACACATACAAAAAAAAAAAAAAAAAAAAAAAAAAAAAACACGTCATATTTATCAATCCTGACCTAGGATTGCGACAAAATAAAAGCAAAATCTGTACCTGGTAGACAATAAAACAATGTTACTTTTTCAAGTAGAGTTCAGCTTATACCGTTTATTTTAATTAACATGTTATTTCCTATGTTAAAATCATTCCTATTTCGTCACTCCTCATTCATACTATTTAGTCACTCCATCAGAATATGTAAATGAAGTGAGTTTTAAATTGAAGCAATATAATCTAAGTTTGGAAAGACCTTTGGATTCTTTTTTAGGAAGAGAGGGACTAAATGTGCAGTGCCTTCGCAGACTGGAACTCTAGACCTTCCGATGCTAGCTGGATGTGATTTTCATTTGCACCACTTAAACACGAGGTAAGGAAGAGGAAATACCTTAAAAGTTTAGAAGACGGGATTGGCAACCTCAGTGGTAAAACCGCCTCTGTTATTTTCTGCGTTTAGTGCTATTTCTACCACTTGGAAAATTTCCTGTTATTGATAATTAAGTTAGTAATCGTGAAAGATCAAGCAATACAATAGGTTCACAGGATTTAAATTTAACATTTGCTTTCTATATACTTTGAAACATTCTTGCCTGTCTGCCCCGCTAGAAGCAAAAATTATTCTTGCTAATTGTTTTAGTTCTGCATCTTCTGGTTGAAGTCCAAATAAATCCTTTAGATGTCTCGTTAAAAAAGTATTCTAGTACTGAAAAAGTAAATTTTTCTTGGAATTCTTTTGACAGGCTGAGAAGATTAGAGTAATTTTATGCTAATCTACTTTTATCCTTATAAGCTTACTTACAGATATTTTAATATAACTAATCACATTTAATTATCAGTTATGAATATGCTCTCAAAACGTTAAAATGCATCATTTGTAAAATAAGCACCACAAGTTGAACGGGAATAAAAAAATACATTCTACATCATTAATCAAATCCATTAAGAATAATATAAATGTGTAAATATCAGGATATTCATTATTCTGAATATAAGTTCTCTAAATAGTTATTCGACCTTAAAACACGAGTGAAATAATGTATAGCAATAAGCTTTGAATTACCTTCATGCTGAAGTTCCTTTTAGAAAATCGATAATTCTGAGTGACTAAAGTTGAGAAAATATTCTGGATGATACCCAAGAGTTTTAAATTGCGATAACATAGTATTCGAAATGAATTTTGAAATAGCCTGGAGTTATTCTTCAGAGTTGATTGCCGAGGGAAATTGTGTTCATCTTATTTCATTCAACACATGCTTGCAGATGCAATCTGCGTTTGCATGGTTCAGGTTCCACTGACGGAAACTAAATTACAAACTCGCTGTTTATGTGTAAACTAAATTGCTGTGCCGTAATGCACTTCAAACTGCGGTTCCAGAAATGTTTCTCTTGAGTGAAATGTAAAAGATTTAAAGATGTAGCAGAGAAGTACTTTAGATGTTAGTGGGAAAATAAAAAAGCTGAAAAGGCGCTCACTCGTTAAAAAAGTAATCATAAAAGAATTTTTTTTATTCTGTATGTCATAACTACAATGTCACAAAATTTCAATTTACATGTAATGAAAACTTTATCTTATTTTTTAACAGTATCAAAAACTTAAATGTATAATAATTTCTTTTACTTAAAATATTCAAAATGCTGAGAAATTTTCTGAATTATTATTTTAAAGCAAGCCTATTGTTTTATTCTAAACAACAATGCATGGAATACTGAAAGAAATTCTGAATCCTAAGCATAAATATTTTAGAAAGACACTAACAGCTTTGTTTTTTAAAACTAGATTTTCTTTACTTTATTTTTCCTTAACATTGCTAAATGATAAAATTACTTCTGCTTACAACAAAAGCCATGCAGATTATTAGTTATTATTTGCTTTCTTCATCTACCTTCGAGTACTTACTATAATGATATTAAAGTGAAAAACGGCCGAATTTTAAAAATTAAACGTACACATCTAGTGCCGCCCAGATAGGTTCCACCCGGGAGTTGCGCCATTTAGAATCTGATGCCATTTCGGCTGATACATCTCTAGTCTTTTACAGAGAGAACGCAGGTCAATAAAACTGAAGTACTGGGGATGAGGATAATAATGTTAAATAGGGCTGCGGAAAAGGGGATGGGAGAAGAACGAGGGAGAGAGATAATGCTAATGTAGCTGCTAATAATACACATGCCAGGTCGGGGTGAACTTATGCAGTAAGCTACAAGTAATTGTATTTTACATGTATTTACAAAATTGCATTAAAAGACAATGTTAACACTTAACATAAAAGCAGAATTTCAGGTATTCGAGATAATGTGGACAGATAGGAATGATGGAAACTGAAAGGGAATGCAAGAGTGCAGTCATTTTGTGTTAATGGATACAACAAATATCGTCAGCTGAGTCGATAAAGTAGCAATGTTAAGCTGCATTCAACAATAATGAATTTAGCATTCCAAAACAAATGTGCACCTATACGTATATTTTTATGGGTTTATCATTTGTGCTTTATTAAGTATGAAGCGATATCGTTGAGTGGTTAAAACTGAAAAGGTGTTGCAAATAAAACAAGTCAAAAGGAAATGTAAGTGAATTGAACGTAATCATTTTAGTACACGTCATTTTATTCCTATAATTTCTACTCTTCTTTGAAATTCCTTTATGTTTCAGTAAAATGCCTGTATGGACTCCACGTGATTTTGTATTTAGCCTCTAATGACCAAGATCAGAAGAACTTCTGTGGCATTTCTATGGATATCACTAGGTAGCCAATAAAATTAACCTTTTGCAATTAAAGTTCTTTTGTGTAAAAATCGTTATTACGCAAAGAAAAATTAATATTACGCACATAAAATGTGGTAAAGGGGAAAAAAGACCAGAAAATTTACTACTGATAAATTTTTTATCACACTCATTTTAAAAGGCGGCAAAGAATTGTTTTTTTTCTCAATCATTAAAAACATCATATAGTTTTAAAAGAGATAATTTTAGATGTTGAAATTTTGAACTAACGGACGCAAAACTGTCAAACATGTCAAGCAGTTTTTGAAAATTGCCCCGAATAATAAGTTAGAAATTCTAAATAATCTTTATTTTAAATACTTTATTCCGGCTCCTTCGGCTGTACCAACAGGGAAATTCTGGAATAATTAATTTGATAAATATGAATATGTGTGAAAACTGCACACTAATTTTTTAACATTAAATTAAAATGCTTAACCCATATATTACCAAGCATTGAAAAAATTAATACTTTTCATTAAATTCTTAAATATGTGTTTCTCTAAGTTTATTATACATACAAAATCAAAACGCTTATCAAATTGTTATTGTTTTTATTAGTACAGCCTGTCCTAAAAATAAGACAACGGTATAATCCACTGCTAATCATTCTTACTTAGGTGGAATGGGAGAAAGCATCTTAAGCATAGCCCAACATTACATTTTTTACAGATAGTGCTATGAAACTTTTTAGCTGACATCTTCTTTGTCTATTTTATGGATTTTTACAATAACATGTTCATTTTGAAGCTTTAGAAAATCTTCATTAACCTGTTGAACACCCAGTTTTCTGCAAGATGGTTTTCTTGGAATAGAAAGTCAACAAATAGGCAAATGTTATGTGTCTTTGAAAATCAAGCAGGCTCAGACTATCCTTATTAAATAAATAACTGACTGAGCTTCCATGAAGCAACAAATGCTGTTTCAAAAGTATTAACAAATAAAGGCCAGTATCTTTTCTTTCCTTTAGTTGAAGTAACATACGCTGCTGCATGATTATCAAACAGGTCATCTCTTTTTTTATATTTATTGCAGAATGCAATGCACATTGGTTTTCTGCTACCTTTTACTCTTCTTTCTACGGTTGATAAACTTTTTGTTTCTTTAAAATTGGACATTACTGAAACAACACGACTGTCATTCCATCGAACTACTGCAACTTTGTTTTTTGAATCAAAAATGCTCTCTGAAGCGCCGCGTTCCATTTTAAACATTGTTTTAGAGAGTATAAGTGGGGATTTAGACATTATATGTTCCCTAACAGTACCTGTAGGGAAGAAAGTTTTATTTTCAAGAACAGGTAGCTCATGGGAAGTAAAGAAATTAGCCATATAAATCTTAATGTATCTCAGGGTTTGTAATTATTGACAGCAAATTCTGGACAATTATATGAGATAATGGCTCATTCACGATTTTCTTAGTTGGTTTCTTCTTTTGTGTCTTTGGATTTTTATTCTTCTCCAAAACTCAAGCATGCAAAAACGAGAGAAATTTAGTCTACTTCAATGAATTTCAGAATACAAACTGACTACATGAATCAATGTTTGAAACATTTAGTCAACCCCCCCCCCCACATTTCACAAACCTGTCTGTCACGTGATGTGCACCTGACAGTTATACTAAAGTGCCTGGGTTAGTTGTAGAACAGCAGTATTTGGAATGTAACAGATAAAGAAAGGATTATCCCTATTCTAAACTGATGAGAATTTGGTACCAGTGGATTTTACCATCGTCCTATTTCTAGGACAGTTGAAAATGGAAGGAAAATTTATCTTTTAGGTAAAATCTTTTGATAATGTTAAAGCATGCTAAGCGACATGCCGTCGCGTAAGAGGATTCACTGCTGATGCATATAAGATACACCCGTCGTGAAGGAGTTAAAATCGGGAAATAACACTATCAATAAATGAACAATGAACACTTTTCAAAGATTTATGAATAATTTTATTTTTTCTCAAATGAAGTGGAAAATCAGAAACGCTTTTCATTTTCTGCTGTTGGAATTAAATAGAATAGTACCATTCAAAATTACATAGTGTATATAAAGAACGTAACATAGCGGTTGGGAATCATTTATATGCAAAGAAATAGGCATATGTATATGTATATATATATATATACATATGCCTCTCTCTCTATATATATATATAATCAAAGTACATGCGTAAATAATGTATACACATGTTTAGTTTTAAATATCCAAAGCATCGCAAAATAACCAAAACGAACGTTTGATCTTAAATATGTATAATTATTTATCAGTAAACAAAGGGAGAAAAATGTTGTTACAAACAGGCGTATTATCAGATGAAAATAATAACGCTTCCGTAAGAAAGGAGTAGCTATGGAACGTTTATAACAATATGAATAAGAAGTATTAAAACAATCTTTTTCCTAAAACATTTCTTTTCCTTTTATTAATCGTTTTCTGAAATTTGTGTAAGGAAATTAAACATTCGAACCATTAAAAACGTATATCACAGATTAACTACTAAACAGAAATTGCTTCCTTACAGAAAATAGGCATAATTATCATTTTGCAGTTGTTCAGATTATGTACTTCTCTCGTCAGAAAGACGAAGCTATAATATTCAGTTAGGGAAGAATAG